TATATATATATTTTTTTTTTTCCCCGGAATTTTCAGAAAAGTCCACTTTCATCTCTGTGAGCTGAACCCAGGTCCGCTGGATGATGGCGTTTGCTCCTTCCCCACGGCGTCCGGTGCGCGGCTGGCTCCTTCAGGAAAAGTTTCCACGAGGTCTGGTTGGCTTCGGAGGCGCAAAACGCGTGATCAGCCACGGATCGTCCACCGGAAGAAATCGGAGAGTCCAACAAACAAGCTCAAATCCGTTCGAAGAAGCGCATCACCCTGTTCGTGACGCCAAGTTTCTGTCAGATCTCTAGGATATAGATATATAGTTTGTGTACAGTGCGTGTGTGTCATCCTGAGTTTCTCCTGTTGCCTTGGTCTTTGACCGGCAAGCTACGGGAGATAACATTACTTGCCAAGTCCCCTTGCGATCTCCTCTACAGTAGGTGGCGGTATGCACCAAGGAAATGAAATTCGCCAAAAACTAAAAGAAGAAGAAGGTTCAGGGTAGGAGCAGTGTGGTCGGGAGTCACTGTGTAAATTAGTGACGAAGTCTATTCGTGTTTGGCTTGTTTATAACAGCCCTCCAATATGGCCGCCGGTAGTGCATTGTGGGTAATTGCTAAAAGGACGGAGCCCTCTATTGAGGGGTTTGTAGTTTTGGAATGGATGGCTCTATGTCAAGAATGGGCAAAAAGGAGAGATGGACTTCGTTTGAATGCAGCTTTTATTTTTTTAACGTCTGCCTCTGCAGTACCAACAAGAACACACCTTCCGGCTTCTAAAACGCTTCCTTCTTTGCTCCAGCCAATCAGATGCTCTCAACATAAACATGTTTAAGTACAGTAATTATTAAAGGGAATATAATTTAGGTAACCTTAACGTGAAAGATTATACTGTAATGCTCAAACATAAAATGATAACAATGCACCATGGAAATCAAATTCGCCAAAAACTAAAAGAAGAAGAAGGTTCAGGGTAGGAGCAGTGCGGTCGGGAGTCACTGCGTGTATGTCAGAGCATATCACAGATGCGTGGGAAATGTTAGGAATTAAGAATGATAGGAATTAGCAGGATTTGGTAATTGAGTTTGTTGATTAAGTGGGAAAGAAATACACAGATGGTGTGCATATTTATTCAGAAGGGTCAATGGATTTAGAAACAGGGTGTAAAGAAACAGCTGTTGTGCTAAGTGACAGGGGGGAGATGAGAAGGACTTGTGATAATTGAAGTATATGTACTTTTGAATGACTTTTGTATTGATCGTGGCTTTTAAGTGGATGAAGAAGTTGGAGTAGTGGTAAGTAAGGCCCTGATCTGTAGTGGCTCAGCCGCTCAGTGCTATGGAGTCTTGAGATAGGAACCTCTTGATTTAGACAGGACTTGAAAGAGAAAACGTGACAAGGTTATAACACCAGGAAGGAAATGAGGCACATGTGTCAAAATTCTGTGGATCGCTGCATATGTGGGAATCCAGGTCACACAAAATAGTCAAACAAGCATTGTGAGAGTAAACACTGATACACTTATGAATTTATTAAAGACAGAAGGGAAGCATGTAATATGAAAGATGAGGAATGGAATCAGGAAGTAAAGGGTAGACTATTAGACATGCTCCGAAATAAAGTGAGAAATGTGAGTCCAGGAGGCGGGAGCAGGAAGGTGGAAACAGTGGATAGTAGACTGAGAATAGGACATACAAAGCTAAACAGTACACTATTTACTTTAGGCAAAGCTGACAGGATTGTGTGTCAGATGCCAAGAAAATGGAACAGACGATAATGGAATGACAGGGTGCTAGAATTTTACAGAGGAAAGGAAGATGATGATTGAGGTAATGGAGATAATAGAGATGAAAAGCGAAACAGTAAAGAGCATTTTCGAGTTTGGGGTATGGGGATGGGGGAGAGAGAGACCACAATACAGGTAAATATTTACCTGTCAACAACAACAGCGAGTAGAAAAAGTTAACTGACAATGGATGCTACTCTGTGTTTTTGTAAATATCTATATTTTTTTGTCAGTCGTGTTTTTTTTTTACTATTTTTCTGTACTTTTGGTCATTTTTTTGTAAATATTCAACGTGCTGTTGTTCGTCGGGTGGTTTACACAATAAATTACACTGCTGCATATTTTTATGACCACACCATTCATTTGAGGAGGTTAAAGAGAACCCCCCCACCCCCCGCCAACATCAAGCTTGTAATTTTTGCCTGCAAAAGTAGACTGGAAGTGACGTCACAATGAAGGTTACTCTGACACGAGACTTTTTATTTGTTTACTCCTAACTAGTCAAAATAAAGTCGGTGGGAGGGCTCATCCGGGAAGGGAAGCTTTCAAGCGGATTGGCGAAGGCAGCAGAGGGAGAACTGGCCTATTTTTAGTGGGTTAGTCTAAGTAAATATGGACAGACAAACCTTCAGTGAATTAGTCATTGAACTAAAACCTCATGACGTCATCCTTAATCCCTTTGAGAGCTCTGTGTAACTCTTCTGTACATAGGCCAATTTGCTCTCCTGCTTACGACTAACTGGCAATTCTTCAGTAGTTACTATGAATGTCCTTTTGCTTTGTCCAGAACAAGGCATAGCGACTTTTTTTTTTTTTCAAGACAAATGTACTGGAAGATACAATTTGGGGTGAAATTTTGAAATAGTTCAATTTATTCTGCACTGGTTAATCTGTGGGCGAATCCCAGGAATAATTGATAATCCATGGTGATGTTGCTTGACAACTTTTATGTTGCTAATTCTGTGAGGGAGGGTATCTCATTTTTATATGATTTGGTTGAAAATAATGGGTCAAGCACAGAGTGGTTCTGATAAAGAAGTTACCCTGCAACACATCCAGGCACTGTACCGTAGGTTTGCAAGTGAATGTCCAAGTGGCAATTTACACTTGCATGAATTCAAGAAAATTTTTCGAGTTAACAACGAATCCTCAGAGGAAGAATCGGCCTACATGGAAAATGTTTTTCGATCGTTTGACACAAATAAGGTAATGTCATAGCCTGTAGTAATGTGATCGATAAATATCATTTGTTTCCAGGAGCATAATCGATCGTTTGACACAAATAAGGTAATGTCATAGCCTGTAGTAATGTGATAGATAAATATCATTTGTTTCCAGGAGCATAATCGATCGTTTGACACAAATAAGGTAATGTCATAGTCTGTAGTAATGTGATAGATAAATATCATTTGTTTCCACGAGCATAATTACAATGATCTAATATTTTGTAACATTTCCTTTTTGTTCGACACAGACCACTTTGTTTCCACTTTAGATTCTGAAATGTTGACCTTTGTATGTCCTTGCTGAAATGCAATATGATACATGAGATTATTTTGTCCTTGTATTTTTTTTAGGATGGAAAGCTAGACTTTATGGAATATGTGGCAGCCGTACATCTTGTTTTGCGGGGGAAACTGGAGGACAAACTTAAATGGTCTTTCAAGGTATATGACAGAGATGGGAATGGCCGGCTGGACAGAGGAGAAGTGAGACATATTATCAAGGTTTGTAATGTCCCTTGTTTTTGTCGTTAGGCTTTGCTCAAGTGATTGACTCAAGTGTAATGCTGCAATTTGTTGGTAGAAAAATAGAACCGCAACTTCATATGTACAGCTAAAGTGAGAATTTGTTGGCGTTATACACACACCATAATGGTGTTCGTCTGTCTGTCTGTCTGTCTGTCTGTCTGTCTGTCTGTCTGTCTGTCTGTCTGTCTGTCTATCTGTCTGTCTGTCTGTCTGTCTGTCTGTCTATTCTATTAGTGTGTTGTTCTTGTTATAATTTCCCCCCGAACATTCTTTGCCAGCCTCCACTATAGCCACCTTCACTATCAGCTTGTTTGTGACTTTTGCGGTATTAATTTTTATGTTAACGCAGTAAAAGGCATTCAAACTCGGGTGTGCTTTTGGAACACCTCGAAGGTTCTTGTATTCTGCATATCTGCACTGTGAAGCATCGTCAAATCTGTTTTGAAGCAATTTGTTCGATGTGAGCTGGGATGATGTGTAACGCTGTTCGCCTCAGAACATAAGCACCAATGCACTTGTCCCATTAGCAGCCATAAATGACACCATGTACTCCACAGGATGTGGTATACTTTGGATTATGAGATGGTGTAATCCTCTTGTTTCCCCCAATTTTTGTGTTCTCATTATTCAGATATACTGTATGTTGGCATTGATTTCATCAAACCAAAGTATCTGATTCCAAAACATGAGAAGTTTATTTTTTCATACTTTCTGGCTTTCGTGTGCATCCAATTAACCCTTTCAGGTACAGTGGTTACTACAGTGTACAGCTTATCATGTTATCAGGTTAGAGGGTGCTTGAAAGGTTAAGCTTTTATCGACTTCACCAGTCAGAATTGGAACCGAAAGCGCTATTACCCCAATGCTACAGTACAAAGTTGGAGGCATAGATTTCCCCATTGTGGGATTTGGAAAGGTTACCTTAAAAATTGTCCAAATTATTTAGAGAGGATGAATAATTAAATGATAAAATGCAAGCATTATATATATTTTTTCAATTTAGTTTCCATATGTTTGAATCCATCCATCCATCCTTTTTCTGATCCGCGTATCCTCACAAGGGTTGTGGGCATGCTGGAGCCTATCACAGATGTCTTCGGGCAGTAGGCAGGTTACACCCTGAACTTGTTGCCAACCAATCGGTGTTTTAATAAATAGTCCAAACATATACAAAGGATAAACATCGATTTCGAAAAGTGTTTGAAATAATGTCTTTTTTTCTCATTAAAATGAGACACTGCGATTCTTGTAGTAGTGTAGTGTAAATCACTACAAATATTATACTACAATACTCCTTTGGGTAATTGTGGAAACTTTGTAGAGATGGCAAATTAGGACAAAAAGATCATACTGTGGAAAGAATTATTTGAATGCTGAAAATTTGAATGTAATCCTTATTCACAAATCGATGAATGTTTTTTTTGTTATCTGCCCAGATTATCTACAAATTAAAGAAGCACACTGACCCTGGTGCTCCAGAGAACATTGAGGATATATGTGATAGAATATTTACCCAAGTGGACAAAAATAAAGACAGTAAGTTGTGTTCACTTCAACAACTATTGTAAATAAGTCATGCAATTGTCACAAAAACAGTGGTTGATTTCACATCCCTTCTTTGAGGAACTATATAGAGAGTCGTGTGAATATACATCATAATTCCAAGTCATAAATTCAATACTGTAATGATTTTGTGTTGTGTTACTTGCAATTTCTCTTCTGCATTGGTCAGGTCAAATTTCCCTGGAGGAATTTATTGAAGGAGCTGAAAAGGACCCATGGGTAATGGATCAACTTAAATTGGATTTCACACCCTGTGACTGGTTTATTGAGCAGCAAGAGAAGAACCCAAACTCATAATGCACTCATTCATTATACTGATGTATATGCCTGGGTCCTGTGTTCTGCAAAAATACCTCATCACAGTTTTCATCTTGTATTCTCACGGAACATTGTGTGAATTTCTACACCATTCACATTTTAATATGCCAAAAAGTAGACTGAAGATTAACTGGTTCTTGGTTTTTTTCACTTATCTCCCTTTATGGCGGAGTAGATGCTGTCCTGGTGCTCTCTTGTATGTACTTTAAACTTATTCCCATCACTGTGTACCAGTGTGCCTGGTGTGCGGCTATCTCACTATGTAAAAACAGTTTGTGTTGTTTTAAAATTTTCTTGGTCAAATTTGTGGAAAGATCTAGGAAGGATTCCTCCTATTTACATAAAATACACAGCATTTCCAACTGCAATGTCAATGACAAAGACTAACTATCAAGCCTTCAACATACATTGCCACAAAGAGATAAGATACCATTAAATTTGTCTTGGGTTATAGGATGTCAGAATTTTTTATTATGATTTTGGGGGGGTGGAAATGTGTGTGTATTTCAACCCCAATTCCAGTGAAGCTGGGATGTTGTGTAAAATGTAGATAAAAACAGAATAGAGTGATTCACAAATCATTTTCAATCAATATACCACAAATACAAGACATTTAATGTTTAAACCGATGAATTTATTCATTTTTTTCTTTTTTACAAACATTCACTGTGTTTGAATGTCAGGGGTGTACTCTGATATGAATGACAGTTTGCGTTGCTTTCAGGTGGACTACAGCTTCTCGACCTGAGATATAGTGTGATGGTGTGGGGCTGCTTAGCTTATTCAAGACCGGGATGACATGCTCCGATTGATGGAACTATGAATCGAAATTCAGAGGTTATTTGTGACCTCAAGATGACGCACATTTGGGTTCCATATTGGCTGGCCACAAATTCAGGGAGCACCCTGCCTACCGCCCAAAGGTTGGGATAGGCTATGTCCAAATTCACAGGCTGGGTCTTCGGAATGCCACATTTTCAGCTGCACGACATCACTTCTGTCCTGACTCGACTTCACGTGGTGTCCAAATTCACATTAAGCCTGTTCAAATTTGCCATGTTTTATGCGGTCCACGAAAGCTACACGAGGAAGAAAGTTTTCAGCTGTTGAAGGACCAGGCCTGCGAGTTGTCTTGAATTCGGAAACCACGTGCGGTCCAGTCGCGCAGATGAAGAATGTGGCCGAAATTGCGGCCTTCGGAGAACACAGCCTGTGAATTTGGACACAGTTATCGTCTCCACCATGCCGGCAACCCTCGTGAGGATCAGCGACTCCGAAATTGGATGAATGGATTAAAAAAAAAAAATCATCAAGAATCGATAAGAATATGTAAATACATTAACCAGTTAATGTTAAACTAAATAGTTAAGACAACAGTGACAGCTTCATTTGATGTGGAATAAAGTAAAACATAAGTACATCTAAATGACGATCATAGAAATGTAAAAAAGGATACATTATGCTTCTGTTACTACCTACACATATTTTCCAACAACATTTTTGCTTGGTATTTTTAGAAATTTTTCTCAAAGTTCTAAAACGAATTCAAACGCATATGCATTTAATGCACCTCATTGCCAGTGACTCATGTACGGAATGGAACTTGTTGATGAACTGTCAAAATATTGAATGTCAAAATAAAAAAGAGACAAAAACGTTAGTGTATCATTGAATAAAATTCATATTGAATTTTGCGTGGATAATAATGCATGAGTTCAAATCATTTCTGTGTTTCCAAGAAAATTGATCACCCCATTATTTGTTTGACGGTCATGAAACAGTCATGAAATTAAGAAAATATTTATTTTTATATTTAAAACTGTAACGTTATCTCACGAGTTAAAGGTACACACACGCACGCGCGCGCGCGCGCGCGCGCGCACACACACACACACACACACACACACACACACACACACACATCCAAAACCATCACTTTTCAAAATAATTTTAAATACAGTACAAACAAAAATACTGTAATGGTTGGCAACCATAGTTCAGAGTGTACCCCCGCCTACTGGCCAAAGAGAGTTGGGATAGACTCCAACACGATCGCGACCCTTGTGAGGATTAGCAGATTACAAAATGGATGGATGGATGGAAAACAAAACAAAAAAATAAACATGTTTGTTGGGCCTTTAAATGATTAACATTGTAACGTACGTCAAAGACAGCAAGTCATTTTCAACTCATTATAATAATAGTAAATAACATAACCATGCGGGGACTAACTGTTAGTATCGATGTTTTCCACCCTGCTTTTTTTTAAAGTTTCATAATGAAAATTCGAGGTATGCAAGTGTGCTGCCTAACAGCATAGCGGATGTATGTGCGCATGCGCTGCTTCCCCAGCTGTCCGGTTGTTGACAATTTTGCTCAATTCATTTTGCCATTCTGGTTCCAATGTTGTGGTTGCTGTAATAAAATGATGCATTCCTTCGGAGATGCCCATGTGGGGAGATCATCGATGGAATCGTCATAAATTTATGTCCCCGGTAAGTAAATTTGATGACCGATTGTCGAAGGCTTCAAAGAGCTCATTTGCACATTCGACTCCGATGCTAGTTGTGGTAGCGTTTAGCTAGCGAGATAAGTTGCCAGGCTAACAAGACTTTATTTACTTGGAGGCCTTGAATTAGTCTAAATGTGGATATCAGCCCCATATTAAATCTAAGTTGTTGTCATGGCCAGCTATACTATGGTGCACGTTTGCAATTAGCATGCTCGGAAGGGAACTATTTGCTATTAGCCCAAGTCACTGCTTGGCGATAAACAACGTACTAAATTAGTATTCTTTAGTTATCGTAACTAATAAAAGCTAGAAAAAAAATACGTATTTATCGGTCCTTCGCTTATTTATCGCTTATGCCGTTGCAACAGTGCTGTATTTCTAGTTCCAATTGCAAGTTAGTAATACATGCTGCTTATTTTGTCTGGTATGTGAACTGAATCCGGTCAGACCTGATTTTTACTGTCAGCCGGGTCTGTTGAGAACATTGACAAGCTCAGTGGCAATTCATTAACTAGACCAGGGATTTAAACATTGTTGTTGTAATTTGATATCAACTGGGCCGGACTAAGTAAATCAAGTCTTACCATAATTAATATTAGAAAACATGTTGCTGTTTCGCCCTTTATACTTAATGAATGATCTTTTTTTACAAAACATTGACATCCTCCAAATTAATTTCTGAAGGAAAATTTGCATTTTGATTCAATTTACTGTATTGTGCACAGGTACTGTATGCGCTGTAACTGATCACAGTGATAGTATGAAATTCTCGAAACCTGAATTGTTTGAACTATACAAACTAACGTGATAACCATTCTCGGAGTCAGTCATGACCTGCTCTGTGAAGTTTATACACGCAGACTTAAAAGATACAAACACAAATACTGTATAAACATAAGACTTGTGTTTCTACTACTGAAAAGATATAACACTTTTTGTATGTGCAGTAAATGCCCAATTCGCTCCAATATTGTTGACGTTTCTGAAGACTATCAAGGCTAGTGTCAGAAAGCTCGGCCTCAACAGCAGGACATGAGTCTTCCAACAGGATATTGTCCCAAAACAAATAATACTAAGTACCCAAGAATGGCTAAACCACAAAATGTTGGACTTTTCTGAAGAGTCCTTATTGATATCCTATGGAAATTTTGTGGGAGGAGCTAAAGGATGCAATTTGCTAAGGTCACCTTTCAGACCTGAGATAGCGAGAGCAATTGCCTCTTGAGAAGATACCTTCAATAAATATCATTGAGGATTTGTTAGAGGAATCAATGAGCAAAATTGTTTCATGTTTAAAGTTTCATTTAATTTGGGCACGTCTAAAAGTTTGGGTGCGTATTCAGCACCCCCAAATGCCTGTGCACAAAGCCATCGGCCACCTGGCCGCAGGGAGTGTTCCAGAAATCTTTTGATTGCAGTGATTATCTCAAAAGGTTTTGTCAAAAATTAAAAAGAAGGGCACCCATCCTTTTGTCCTGGCAAGTAGCATACCTGTAAATACAAAATTGTTGTATTTGTGGTTAGTGCGTCGACCTCACAGTTTAGAGGTTGTGGGTTCAAACCGGCTCTGGCCTTCCTGTGTGGAGTTTGCATGTTCTCCCCGGGCCTGCATGGGTTTTCTCCGGGTACTCCGGTTTCCTCCCACGTTCCAAAAACATGCATGGCACGCTGATTGAACACTCTAATTGTACCCTTGGTGTGAGTGTGAGCGCGGATGGTTGTTCGTCTCTGTGTGCCCTGCGATTGGCTGGCAACTGGTTCAGGGTGTCCCCCGCCTACTGCCCGAAGACAGCTGGGATAGGCTCCAGCACCCCACCCTTGTGAGGATAAAGCGGTTCAGAAAATTGATGGATGGATGGATCCCCTCTGTTAAAGTCCACAATTATCACTGAAGTCACTTTTGTTGAAACTATAATTTTCTTAAATTAATATTGGCAATTGATGTACCATATTTTTTGGACCATATGGCCGACTGTATTAAAAGGCGCAATCTGAGTTACGGGTTCAATCACATACACAAGGTGCAATTTATTATTGGACGCAAGCATGGTAAAACACAAATTCGCTTAAAAAATATGGTAGCATGCATCCATGCCAGCGTATGTTTTTAGAAAGGCAGCATGATCAAACAGAGTTTGCTTGTCCTTTATTGTATTTAACAATGAACTCACATTATTTTTTGATCAATCCTCTTCCGCAAATCCAACAAGTCCTCATCTTCTGTATCTGAAATGAACAGCTGAGGTAGTTCTGCATCAAACATGCCAGGTTCCCTCGCATCATTGTCAGAGTCAGCCTTGTTGCTGTGCAGCTACTCAGAAATGATGCCGGCTTTTGCGAAAGCTTGAACAGTAGTGCAAGCAGACACGTTAGCCCAAGCATCCACAATCCATTCACAAATTGTAGCAGTCACGTTTATCTTTCCTCTGTATAAGCAGTGTGCCGGCACAATATCAGTCAGCCAAGCGGAGCCCTCATCGAAGTCGCACAACATTTACAGATTTTGGGACTCGGTGCATATCTAAGGCACCCCGTCCATTTTGGAGAAAATTAAGAACTTTTAAGTGTACCTTACGGTTGTGAAAATATGGTAATTATTATTGTACATGTGTGAAAAAAGATGAAACACAATCTGGAGAAGGCACCTTTCAAACCTGAGAAGGTTTAGCTTTTTCCTCATAAGTAGTCGAACAAAAGTGTGTTGAGACATACAGAATGAGAGGGAGAAACTGTTTGCAGGAATCCCTCAAAAATTCTGCAACAATGGGTACCGCATTATTGTGTTTGTGTTGCCACATATTTCTGTTGGACCAAAAAAATAAAACAGTGACTGAGTTTCACTGGTTATTTTTTTCAGTAGATTTTTATTAATTATTATTTTGGTCAGTTTTAGGTTATGTCAGTGACCACTGTTTTTTCCCCTCTGTCATTGATGGGTTTGTTGAAAAAGCCTGTCCGACATCATCAGAATATACCTCAAAATCCTTTATCAAATGAGTGTTTATCGATTGTGAATAATT